CTAATTTAAACATCAATAAGTACATACATGGCACCACAAACCATCCTCATTAGCAATCTTCTGCAAAATCTGGAAGGTTGGACAACTTAGAGACCAGCACCATTTTCATTAAAAGCTCTAACATAGTAACAAAATAATATTTATATAGTGATTTATAATTTTCAAAGCATACATTTTCTGATTTTATGCTCATAACAACCTAATAAGCCAGGCTTTTCTATTTTTCACCCATCTTTTAGGAAACTAAGGCTTAGAGAGCTTAAGTGACTTAGTCAAGGCCACCAGCTTAAGCCAGAATTCAAGCCTGGATTTTATAATTGTGGTCTCTGCATCATGTCCAAACTGACTCCATGAACAGCAAAACAAAGAGAGAGATATCTGGGGAGAGAAAGAAATGCTACAGAGATAACTGGAAGCAGAGTGGAAGGTTTTTGTGTGGAGATACCTGCAGGGGACGCATAGTCTTTTAACAATCCTTCACTGGGACAAAGCTCGGCTGGGAAAAAACCCTCCTCACCAAGGCATGCAACTACAGGCACTCAAAGGGAAGAAAAATGCTGGGCTGGAATTGAAGTGCCTTTGGATATCCCCACCCCTTCATTAACATTGTCTTCCAGTGCATAAGGGTATCTTTTTTCTTTCTTGAAGCTTGTGGCTGTTGTGTCATTTGGGACATTCCAGCTCCTGTACCTGCCGAGCCAGTGGAGGCACCATGGATTCCTTCACTGTTGCATCAAGAATCCCTTAGCAGGCTGTGCTAAAAGCAATTAGTGTCAGATGGCTCAAGAGGAGATACTTCTAATGGTTCTCCTGCTGAAGAAAGAGGCTTTTGGAACTCAGCAAGATGATGTTTTATTATCCTCCTGTGTATGGGCCTCCTAAGATCCCAGTTCAATGGCAGTACACACATGAAACCTTAGCTCTTAAAGGGATCTTCTTTAAGACTGACTTGCACTATAGTCCAGTCACTTGATATTGAAGCCAGTGCTGCAGAGAAAAAGGGCCACTACAATGGTGTCCACATTTGTCTACACATTAGAATCACTGGAGAGCTTTTACAATCCCATACCCAAAGTCACACTCATACAAATAAATTGCATTTTGGGGGTAAAAGTCAGGTATCAATATTTTTTAAAAACCCTCTGAGCTGATTCCAATGTTCAACAAAGTTTGCAATTGAAGGGCTTATGATTTGTCTAAGATCACATAAATGGAGACAGGAACCCACCATAGTTCAACTCAATTGTTTTTAGCTGAAAGTAACTCTTGCCTGGAAAATGTAGGATGAGAAGATGCAGAATAGCTGCCATAATGGTGACATGCCTAAACAATAGATAGAAATTTATTTCTCTCTTACAACTGCCCTTCAAGATGAATATACTAGCCCCAGTTCACTAGTGGAGAACATGCTGTGAATCCTACTGAAATGTGGAAGGAGGCCTTCCGGTGGTGCTCCTTCCAGCTGTCAGACCTACTGTGTGCTAGGTATTGTCCTAGGCTACACGGATAAATGGTCAACAAGGAACAAAAAGCTTAGCCCTCCCAGAGCTTATCCATTAATGAAGGATCCAAAGACATAATTCAGCAATTCCAACGCTTTAGGGTCAGGACTGTGGTGGGAACTGATTTTATTCATTTGCATTGGACCTTGATTTTTCTAGAGGATTTGTGGCAGCAAAAACACACATAATGAAGTTGTTAGGATATAAATAAGAAACAGAAATGAAGACTAGGGGAAATATAAATAAGTGCAGAGAGTTAAGAACAGAAGAAGAAAAATGTATAATTATGCAAGTCATAAGGATCTAGTTGGGCTGAACCTCAATTTTGGCATTAAGTGTTCTGGCAGCCATATTGAAAAGGGAGCTCTGTTTAGTTGCAAAGTTTTTATTGTCGAAAAGACAAAAGTATACTGTTACCTCAGGGAAGGAAAGGCTTTCCCAACACTTGGCTCTTGAGGAAATGTCTCATGTGGAATTTCATCTCGTCTCCAACAATATTCCTATAGTGACTGCAAAATCGTATTTTATAACACAGTGCCTTGAAGACCCTCCCATAAAAGTAAGAATATAAAATAGTGAATTTATGTTGTGAGTAGGTGGTCAGAAGTAGGTTGATTTGTGCCAAATATATATCCAGATGAATCTATGGCTATGAGCTGAAATATCTGAGGGAATGGATACATTGGACACCCTTAAAAGCAGTCTTCATAACTTCTCTCTACTGGGATTTTGATAAGGTAGATAATAATTTTTTTTTCCTGGGATAGGGTTGGAGGGTAAGTATTCCACATTGTGGATAATGTAATGATTCATACTAGGGGTCAGCAAACATTTTCTTAAAGGGCCAGACAGTGAATATCTCAGCCCTTGTGGGTCAGCCTTTGTCAAAGCTATTCAGCTCTGCAGGTATAACACAAAAGGAGCCATAGACACTACATAAGTGAATGGGAATGGCTATATTCCAATACAACTTGATTTGTAGAACCAAGTGTCATGTCAAATTTGGTTGACAAACTGTATTGCCAACCCCTGATTTAACATTGAAAAAAAGCAAAGTATATCCTTGCTATCCTTCTGTTGGAATTACAGAACATTTAGAAACTTAGTCTTGGCCAATGGTGACTTTAGCCTCATGATTTAATCATTGGTAGGTAGTGATATGTGCTGGTGGGAGCATGGCTCATGTTCAGGTTGCAGAGTCATCACATTTGCTGGAGGACACATGTGGACCCTGAAGCAACCCAATATAACTATTCACACATCAAAGTGACACTCAACGGATGGGGAACCGGAGTTGTTGCAGCACATAAGTGGGATGGGTCCAAACATTTTTCATTTCACAAGGAGAAGGAGAATTGTGTGTCTCACCTGGAGGTCTCACAAAGCAACATGAATTCTCTATTAAGATCTCTAGGTTGGTCCCTTAGGAAAGAGAGAAGAAGTTGGATTATTTCCAGTCAGTGTGTTCTATTTACTCCTTCATCATCTTTTCAAGTGCAAAATCTATTCCAGGCTACCAGATGTAGATTCTAACATATCTTCTGTGAGTACAGCCAAAAATATAGCTGCCTTTAGGAAAAAATAATATGACTTTGCTGAAAAAAGGCTTAGTTATGAGCAGGTAGTAGATGTTGGTGGTTTGTTATGATCTGGATTTTAAAATACCTCCCATAAACTAACCTGGGGGGTTAATTGTGTAATGGAAGCTACATTAAAGAGTTAAGTCTGTGAGGTCATCAGAAAAGGTGGCCTCGAGTGATTTGGAATTTGCAGCAATGGGTGATTTAGGGTTCCAGCCTTAGATACTATTTTAACCAATTTATGGATAACCCATGGTCCTGAGCATTGAATTATGAACACATGTGTGCCACAGGTGGTGACAGTGGGAAAGCAGGCTTGGACAGGATTAGCAGCTTCAAGAGAGTTTTCAAAAACAAGGAAGACAGTTGTGGAACCTTTGGGAATTCGTTGTCAGTTTGAGCATAATTTGATGCATCATTCTTTCTGGATAGCAGAGAATTGTTCCTTTTGCTTCATTTGGAATTTCCTAACTATTCACTTGTCCAGCAGCATATGCTGGTTGAGAAAATGGTTTCTGTTTATTGTAATCAACTACTTCAGGCATATGGAGAACAAGGACTATGTCTTTGTGTTTGTATACTTAGGGCTCTATCCAGTACCTGATCTCTAATGGCCACTCAAAAGGTGGTTGCCCAAAGCACGAATCCTGGACAATAACGTCCTGTCTGCACAACCAGTGTCACAGAGTGGTGGATTGTCAGGAAGGGAGATGGCTCCTTTTTGTTGCACAGACTGTGCCAAACCTTGAACCACTCCAACAGAGACTAAGGCTTTTTATTTAGGGACTGAAACAAAATATTCCTGTGAGACTTAGAAAGCAGAAAACCTCTCATGTGGAGTCATAGTGACCCAGTAGATGCCACCATATTGGGCAGGGACATGGATAAGTGATGTATATGGCAGGTATGAGATATTTTCAATAACAGCTTATTCTTAACAAGCAGAATTTGAGACCAGAGAAATTTCAAGGGTAAATTTCTTGGGGAAAAATGCTCCATACCAAAGTCACCTAAGATTTCCACTTTTTCCGAAGTAACACATGACCAGGCATACTATTTCATTCATTCTCTTTCCTCTGGCTCTTGCCAACATGCTTATTAATAACAATGACTTTATCAGTTGTCTTAAGAAAACAAATTTCTTTCAACAGAAGTCACAGAATGATTTTACAGTCATATTTTTTAAATATCACTGCCACCAATAAGAAATGCATGCAGAATGAGGATGTTCTGAGCCTAAAACAAATTAATGCTGAGCAACACTGAGGTTCAGCCACAACGCTGTGCCCACCCCACCCTGGTGGCCAGGTCTTGCAAGTAAGAAGGAAGGGGAGGGCCAAGATGGTGGGGATATTCCCGGGTGCTCTCAGAATCCAGCTGAGGCTCTAGCCCTGAGCCCTTTATTGTAGGGTTTCCTTCCACCAGAGGAATGTAGGAATAAGGAAAGAAACAAAGAGAAGATGAACTTAAAGCAAAGCCTAACATCACATGGGGTAAACTTAACATGGACAGTTTTTCTTACTGTAATAGATAAATTGCCTACCTCCATTGTATCTAGATTTATAAAGGATGAACTTTGACTCCAGGGACATTAAATATCTTGTCATCCTTATTACCTCCACCCACGTCACAAGTCCAAAAAAACTTGAGCATCTGTTCACAGTTTTGCTCCTGACCCTCCCCTAGCATTAACCACAAGACAGCAGAAATAGAATAAAGAGATTAATGCATAACCTTAAGCAGCCTCTAGGTTCACCTCAAGGTCCTGCTTGGGTGAGTGTTGGGAGCCAATTATGAGTTGTCATGACTCTGAGTATCTTTAGTTTACAGAAACATGCTAATATCCAAAGTGTATATTAATTGTTTTACTTGTGTCCTCATCTGTTCATTGATTCATTCTGAATGTTCTTGGTCCCAGGGCCTGAGGATCATTTTCTCAGACGCTTCACGGCTCATCTTCCGGCTCAGTTCCTCCAGTGGCATGCGGGCCACCATCCGACTGTACGCAGAGAGCTATGAGAGGGATCCCAGCGGTCATGACCAGGAGCCACAGGTACTGAAACAGAGCTGTGCTCTCAGCACTGTGTGTTTCATTGCTTCTGGCAAATTCCAGGAGCTCCTGTATGCCTTTTGTAGGAGTGATTTGATTTTCTGGAAAGCAAATTCCATATTGATACTTCTAGCTGAAGCACAAACTGCGAGTGACTCTGTGCAAACTTAATACATTCCTTGCAGTGCTGGAAACAGAGAAATTGTTCTCTAGCATCTATGATGAGTTTAGGCTAGCATTTCCCAAATGACTTGTCTCTCTTGACTACTCTGCATTTTGTTAACTGGGGTGACATCAAGAAAAAGCACCTTGTGTAGACAAGGACATTGTCAGTCAGGGTCAAACTGGTCAAACCACCCAGAGCCTTGACTATGCTCACGTAAATTATGAGTCCTCAGGTGTTTGGGAAACTCTGTGTTGGACCATGACCTTGGGGGTGCCGATATCGATGCTACTCTGGGCTTTCTCTCTGAGATTGCTACAGAGCCTGGCAGGAGAGGAGGGCTTCCTGGCCTGAGCTTGGAGTCAAGGGAAGACACCAACAAGGCTCAGCCAGCCAGTATTTGGCTAAGCCCCCTTATGTTGTCAACAGTGGAACTAATAAAGAACTCACTCAGAAACATAACAAATAGCACAAGCATAAGGCTCCCACTCCCATATTTGTTAAAGCTCCAGGCAACTTTAATTAATACCAGGAAGGACTCTCTATAATGTTGGGCCCTTCCAGCTACACTGCTGGCTGCCCTCACCCTCTTGATCTTTACTTCAACTTGGGTTTGGAGCAGAGTCTTTGATGATTTTCTGAGATGAAAACATGGGCTCCATCTGCAATGCTTCTTTTGTGAAACAGAGGAGTAAAGAAGTCACTGCTTCTCGCTTTACAGTTGCTCAGCATTTCCAGTTATAATTTGTCACAGTGATTCTCTGGGTGGAAGAGATACCAGAGAAAGTTTTCTCACTTTGTCAGTACTTCAGTGGATTTTTTTTCATGGTATTTTTCTTTGGAGAGTCTCAAAGAACTTGGGAAAAATGATACCATAGATCCTTAACACCTGACTGTATAACAAGATCTGTATTGAGTAGAATTACCCAGGGGTGGAAGTAGAGGCCTAGGAGGCTGAAAGCTATTATCAGGGTCACCCAGAGCTTGAAGGGGCAGAGCACAAGGCCAACATCAAGTCCTTGGCCCTTCCTTCTCAGTTTCAGACACTTCCCACATAGGGATGGGTCTCACTCTGCCAACATAATTTGTTAGTGAGTACATGTCACCCATGATAGTATAAAAACACACAAAAATTGGAGGCTTACCCTATTTCTCTGTATAAAAATCTCAGCTACATTTCATGTTTGGGAAGCAAGATTAAAAGCAAGGACCTGAATGTCCAGAGCTACGTACAGGGTGAGGAATGATACTCCTGGCCTCACCAACTCTGACTCACCCTGACTCAAGGCAGTTATTTCTCAACATTCTCTTTCCTATTTGCATGCAGTAAGTGGTTATGATATTTGCTTATTTTTATTTACCTTCTGCACTGACTTCAGAAGTATCTATATAATGTCAAGGCCATTATACATATGAGAAAACAATCCTATACACACATTTTTTCTTTACCCTTCTAGGTTCCTTTGGCTAGTCTAACAATAAAATTGACATGACACAGATTAGCAGGAGAAAAACAAGTTAAAGTTTAATAACAGATATATCTCCTGTACATGGGATAGACCCAAGAAAACTGAGTAACCCTCTGTAATGGCAAAAGCCACTGTCTTAAATAAGGTTGCCAGATTATAAGACAAAAGAAGATTTTGAGGGTGGGGAGTGAGTCATGGAAGGTTACCAGGAAAAGCCCAGTAAACAAGGGTAAGGTTATTATGCAGAGTTAAGTCCTTGCCTCTCCATTGATGAGTGTTTCTAGAGTTAAGGTCACCCCCTCTTCCCTGTAAAGTCAGGGAGACACCCTTACAAAAGGAGATTTCCCCTATGCATGTCTCTTACTCAAGGGTAATTTTTCCTCAGTTTTTAGAGCTTTGCCTATGTCTGCAGTTTCTTAAAAATAATCAGCCTAAAATAATCCTTAGGCCAAAGAGACACTTTCTGGGGTGGAAATTTGCTGTTCTACAAGTCTCTCTCTGAGATGGCCCACAAAAGCTGAGTGGTGCCACTTTTTTTAAGGCTTCCTTTGAAGCTGAAGACCTCCATGGGCTCGTTGCTAGAGCATTGGGTGCTAGGTATGGTCAGGGCCCAGGGCAGGCTGCCCCCAAATATCCCACCACGGCAGATTGATTACTTCGAGTTAAAGTGACTTGACCAGCAGCCAGTGTAAGAGGGGCACATTGACGCTCCCTTGTCTCCTTGAATGCAGGAAGTCAGTCTCCCCTGTGAAAGCCACCCTCCTTGCTCCAGGGGTGTGCAGAAAGATGCCCTTAATGCTAGAGGTAAGGAATCCAGAGCCTAGAAGCCTGTGTAAACAAACCTTATTTTTTACTAATTTACTACCCAGGCCCTTTGCTGTTTCGATTCCTTACAAATGAGTATCCAAAATTAAGTTTCTCTGTCCTGTCAAATCTTCACAAATTTATTGTTTCTTTGTCTTGAAAATATAAAAAGTTGGGCTGGTTCATTATTTCTCTGAGTGTTATTTATGATCCCCTGTGTGCATGTATTAAATTGGTTTCTCTCCTGTTTATCTGGTCTTTTTCAATTTTATTATTAGTCCAGGCACAAGAAGTCAAGAAGTATGGAAAGGAGATTTCCCCCTCCTGTACAGTATATGTACTTTAGTCTGTGGGTGAATTCACCATTACTGTATGTTTTGAATGCTTGGGGATCCTTCCATTGATATGGTGCTTCTGATTGCTGATATTCTCTCCCATTCTAATCACAAGCAAGGGTTTTCTCAGATGTGGCTAGGTGGGGCTCACAATATTTAGCGTATGACCTAGCTAAAAATTTTATATTAAAATAGACTTCTTATTAAAATGCTATATATATCATTGACTCACCAACTTACGGCCTATTGCATAGCACATTTAAATCAAGATATAAGCCCTGGTTGGTGTGGCTCAGTAGACTGAGTGCTGGCCTTTGAACCAAAGAACTGCCTGTTCAATTCCCATCAGGGCACATGCCTGGGTTGCTGGCCAGGTCCCAGCTGGGGACCTTCGTGAGGCAACCATACATTGATGTTTTTCTCCTCTTTCTCCCTCCCTTCCCATTTCTTCAAAAATAAATAAATAAAATCTTTTTTTAAAAAAGATATAATTTAGAATACAATTTTTAAAAATTTTTAAGAAGATTTTATTACCCAACTGGGGACCCAGCCTGCAACCCAGGCATGTGCCCTGACTGGGAATCAAACCATCAACCCTTTGGTTTGCAGGCCAGTGATCAATCCACTGAGCCATGCCAGCCAGGCTTAGAATAAGATTTTTAAACCTTATAACTAAATCCCTAAGGAAGGAGAGAAGATTTTCTCCTCAGGCCCACCTGCTCCTAGGCACTTACTGGTGTGTTTGACTGTTTGGAGCCTCCTCACAGCATCACTTTGCAGGACCACCTACTTCTGCCCTAGGAGAGTTCTGGAAGGAAAAGCCTTTGGATAACTGTTAACAGAGAGTAAAGATAAGGCATTGTCCCCAAGCTGCTAGTGTTACTACTGATTCAGGGCCTGGCAGGGAAACACCAGCTTGTGTTGCTTTCTCAGCCACAGAGAAAACCTCTCCACCTTTTTGGCTTGTTCTGATTGGCAGCCCAGAAAGCAGAGGGCAAAGGGCCACCCTGCCCCACCCCACACTGGCACTTGCACGCAGATGCCCATTAAAGTACCTCTGTAATCTGCAGAGATTTCCTTGACAATCTCATTCCATTCCAACAGGTATTTTTTAATGCTTTACCCACTTGAACACAATGCTCATCTTCATCCAAGTTGTTTAGCAAGAGGACTGGAAAGTTCCCTTCAACTGGCTTCGTTAGAATCTAGTGTTTTAATCTAGATAGTTTCTTTCCCAGACATTTTAAACAGGAGAACAGAACCTGTTTTAAACACTTACACTGTCCTTGCCTCAGGGAAGTGTTTGTAGCTGTCCTACTGATGCAACTAGGAAGACTTGGGGTGCAATCTATATGCGCATGTCTCTATCCCTGCTTATAGATTTTCAATTTGGGTCCATTTGTTTTAAGTTAATGTAAAATAATTTATTGCCTACATTCAAAAATACATTTTTTAGAACACTCCACCTGTATGCACTTAGAATTGGTGGTGCAAGGAGGAAAGAGATTGGAGGAGGGATGCTGATACAGCGAAAAGGTGCTTGCTTTGCCCTCGCTTTGTCCTTGGTAAACCAGAAAGAAAAGATTCCAAGGCCTGTTTCTGAAAGATTATGTATTTTTAAAAATACAAGATTACTTGAATTTTACTGGCAGTCAGTGGGCCTTCAATGAGCCCTCAGACCAGCTGGTAATAATTTGGAAAAAGGGATGAGCCAAGAGCATTTAAATTCACAGGTAACCAGAAACAGCCCAGCTGTTTTCATTTTCTTTCCCACTAGGTGTATTAACAGGACTGCTAAAATCATTTAGTATTCACCTTCTTCCTGGTCCCTTTCAGCCTGTGGGTGGAGTAGCTGATGAACAACAAAGGATCCTAAAGGAACAGGAAGGAGAAGTTTTGCCAAAGGCTGGGATAATCTCAGCCTGATAACCAGCTCCTGGCTAATCAACAGTGGGTTTAGGTATTTGAACAGCACCCCACCCTACCCCAAGCCCTGGGAGGAGCCTGATTTCCCCAACCTTCCTTCCAATTGAGGGAATTTACCTATGTATTTCTGATACGCTGTATCTAGAAGTCTTTAAGGACTAGTGTCTAAGCACCAAGAGTCCCTCTATATTAGATTCATCTGTCAAGGCAAAGGCCATCTGTCATTTTGCTGTACCTGTTCTTATTATTTCTTTATAATGCAGAAATATAAAGTACAGCACCATTCTGTGTTATATTGGAAGAACA